TCCAGCTGGGAAGTGTGTTAAAATCAGAATTTTTACCCAGTTTGGGATCTGCTCTCACCGACAGCTGGCAGTGGGACAAGATCATTGGGGAAGGGAAATGTTGTCTGTCAGTGCTGTCTGAGCAGAGAAACCCCAAAATGTCGGCAGTTTGGGCAAAACCAGCGGGATTGAGGGACTGGGGAGGTCAAGACAGGAAAACAGGAATTGGGGGTGGGTTTTGCCTTATGCTAAATACATGCAGAGAAGAGGATCCAGCTGCAAAATGTCAGTGGCTTTGAAAGACTGAGAAACTGGAAGAACTGAAAAAAGAAACAATGGGAATGGTGTGAGGTGTGAAAAAAAGGGATTCGTGAGGGACTTGGATTTCGGAGGTCATTCAGCTCCCCTGCAAGGGGAGGAAAAGGGATTTCCATGAGCACTTCCGTAAGGAAATGCAGTAAATCACTCCCAGAGCAGCGGAGAGCTCCGGGCTCGGCTAACATGAGAAAAGGCAGCTGTGCAGTAAAAGGTGGGTGGATCAAACGGGATGTGCTTCCCCAGGAATGGTCAGGCTGTGGGGGGAGAGGTGAATCATCCCCTGCCAGGGGAGAGCACAGAAAGGGCCTCGATTCCCCCCGTCCTCTTGGGTTTGGTGGGCATTGCTGGACCATGGCCAGGACCCGGGAGCTGCTCCGTGTCCCTGGGACTGGGCACAGGTGTCCAGCCCAGAGCCTCCCGGTGCCCAACTCCAAACCCTATTTCATCCAAAAAAACCCTCACATTTCGGCCTCCTAAGGCATTTTTGTTTTAAAAAAACCCAAAATGATCTTCAAACCATTTAAAAAAAAACTCATCTAAACCGCCTTAACTTACATTTTAATAAAAGTTAAAACATTTCAACCTTCCTGAGCTCTTTGTTCAAAAAACCATCGCAACCCCTGAGACGTATTTTCTTAATAAGATAAATATCTCATACTTTCAGCGTCTGTTCCCCATATCTGGGACCGTTTTGCTCTCAAGACTGTGCGATTCCAGCACCAAGGGAGATTTAACGAGGGGAAAAACACAGTGGGAGGTTTTCCAAGGAATTCTGGGCTGTGCTTTTTCAGCCCGTGACTTCACTCGGGGCCGTGTCCGAGTGTCAGTCCTGGCAGCGCTCCCGGCGAGGCCGAGGGTGGGAATTATCTCACTGACTGTAAATATCTGCCGGAGCCTCTGCCCGGCTCGGCTCCCCGCGAGCAGGAGCGCCGCGGCCCCGGGATGCTCCCGCTGCCCTAATTTAGGCATTTCTGCGGGCTGGGATGAATCACGGCGCTGGTTTCCCTGCAGGCGGGCAGCCCGCGTGTCCGTGTGTCCGGCGGGCAGGCGCTGAGCTCAGCTTTGGATGTGTCACGGAGCAGAGGCAGCGAAATAGAGCCTGACGCTGTGGGAGCCCGTAAAGCAGGATTTGGGGCTGGGAGACATTCCCTGCCGATGGGATCACACCTTGTGCAGGGAGCTTGGACACCACAGCGAGGGGTATTTATAGCCGGGCCCCTCGCTTGGGACGTGGAGCCCTGGCGCTATTTTGGGATCGATGTGGTCATGGCTTGGGGCACGTCTGGAGTGTGGCTGGGACCTGCATGGAGAGAGGGCCCGGAGCGTGTCCAGGGAGTGGAGATGGGGAGGGAATGGAGCCCCAGGAGGGCTGGGGGAGCTGGGAAGGGGCTGAGCCTGGAGCAAAGGAGGCTCAGGGGGGCCCTTGTGGCTCTGCACAAGTCCCTGCCAGGAGGGGACAGCCGGGGGGGTCGGGCTGTGCTCCAGGGAACAGGGACAGGAGCAGAGGGAACAGCCTCGGCCTCAGGCTGGGCCAGGGCAGCTCAGGGGGGATTTTGGGGAAATTCTTCCTGGAAAGGGCTGTGCAGCCCTGGCACAGGGATGGAGTTCCCATTCCTGTTGGGATTTCAGAGCTGTGCGGATGTGGCACTTGGGGACAGGGTCAGTGGTGGCCTTGGCAGTATGGGGGAAACTCAATGGTCACGGAGGCTTTTTCAACCAAAATCAACAGTAAGCTGGCAAAAGTTATCCCAGTTTTCAAGAAGGGCCAGAGGCACAAGCTGCAAGCTGCAGGCCTGTTGGTGTCCCTTTGGTGCCCTTACAACCCTGGAATGGATTCCTCTGGGAGTTATTGAGAAGGCTGCAGCCCCCAGAGAACATCCTGATTGCCAAACCTCCTTACCTTGTACCACAAGGTCCTCCTGAGCTGATCCAGGCAAAATAGAAAAAATCGTTTTGGATCTCAGTAAAGCTTTTCCAGAATCTCACAATCATTGAACTTGGAAAAGATTCCTAAGACCATCCAGTCCCAGGCTGTGCCCAATGCCCACCTTGTCCCCAGCCCAGAGCACTGAGTGTCACATCCAGCCCTTCCTTGGACACCTGCAGGGATGGGCACTGCAAAGCTCCCTGGGCAGCCCCTGCCAAGGCCTGAGCCCCTTTCCATGGGGAAATTCCTGCTGATTCCACCCTGAGCTGCCCTGTCCCAGGCTGAGGCCGTTCCCTCTCCTCCTGTCCCTGTTCCCTGGAGCACAGCCCGACCCCCCCGGCTGTCCCCTCCTGGCAGGGACTTGTGCAGAGCCACAAGGTCCCCCCTGAGCCTCCTTTGCTCCAGTCTCAGCCCCTTCCCAGCTCCCTCAGCCCTCCTGGAGCTCCAGACCCTTAACATCTTTCTTGAAGTTTGAGATGTTTCAGTTCTGTGTCCAGATCTTTCTGGACAAGCTGCCCAGCCCAGCTGGATAAACACCTCAGGATGAAGGGAATGGCTGGAGCTGTGCCAGGGCAGGGACAGGATGGACATCAGGAAAGGCTCTTTCCCAAGGGTGCTGGGCACTGCCCAGGCTCCCCAGGGAATGGGCACGGCCCCAGAGCTCCAGGAGCGTTTGGCCAGCGCTGCCAGGGATGCCCAGGCTGGGATTGCTGGTGATAGGAAAGGTGTGCGCTCATGTGTCTACAAACAGTTCCACGGGTGAGGGCGTGGGTGCTGACGCTGAAATGGGGCTGAACGCCTGCAGAGGGTTTGTCAGAGCCCAGCCAGCCTGACCCCTGCAGGGCTGAGCTGATGCACTGCGGGGCAAGGTGCCGGGCCCAAGGGGGATGTGTGGTGCGCTCCCCCTCCCCGGGACCTCGGCCTTGGGAAGAGGGAACGTGCAGCGGGGAGTTTGGGATAAAAGGAGGCTGTGCCCCCCGAGAGAGAAACCCCTGTGGGCTGTGCCCCGCTGGACACTGCCTTCAGCAAAGCTGCAGGACTGCTGTGTGTCCTCTGTGGTGCTCTGTCCCCTGTGGTGCCCTGTCCCTTTGTGGTGCTCTGTCCCCTCTCTGTCTGCTCTGTCCCCTGTGGTGCTCTGTCCCCCTCGGCCTTGGGAAGAGGGAACGTGCAGCGGGGAGTTTGGGATAAAAGGAGGCTGTGCCCCCCGAGAGAGAAACCCCCGCGGGCTGTGCCCCGCTGGACACTGCCTTCAGCAAAGCTGCAGGACTGCTCTGTCCCTCTGTGGCTGCTCTGTCCCTTGTGGTGCTCTGTCCCTTTGTGGTGCCCTGTCCCCTGTGGTGCCCTGTCCCTCTGTGTAGCTCTGTCCCCTGTGGTGTTCTGTCCCCTGTGGTGCTCTGTCCCCTGTGGTGCCCTGTCCCTTTGTGGTGCTCTGTCCCCTGTGGTGCTCTGTCCCTCTGTGATGCTCTGTCCCCTGTGGTGCCCTGTCCCTTTGTGGTGCTCTGTCCCCTGTGGTGCTCTGTCCCCTGTGGTGCCCTGTCTCTCTGTGTCTGCTCTGTCCCTCTCTGTCTGCTCTGTCCCTCTGTGCTCAGCGGGATTTTCCCTGCACTGCGGGGTCTCTGCAGGGCCGGTAGCTGGATCAGTGACCCCTGCGGGTCCAGCTCAGGGGGTCTCTCAGTGGGCACACCTGTAACTGAGCCTGCGGCTCTGCGACAGCCCGGCCACTCTGCTGGGCCACGCCGACCAGCTGGGAAAGCTGGGAGTGACCAGGGGTGACCAGGGGTGACCAGGAGAGACCAGGGGTAACCAGGGGTGATCAGGGGTAACCAGGGGTGATCAGGGTGATCAGGTACTGAGCAGGGGGTGACCAAGAGGTGAGCAGGCGGTGACCAGGTACTGATCAGGCACTGACCAGGGGTGATCGGGCACTAACCAGGCACTGACCAGGCACTGTCCGGGCACTGACTGGGCACTGACCAGGGGTGATCGGGAACTGATCGGGCACTGACCGGGCACTGACCAGGCACTACCCGGGCACTGACCGGGCACTGACTGGACACTGACCAGGGGTGATCGGGCACTATCCGGGCACTAACCAGGCACTGACCGGGCACTAACCGGGCACTGACCAGACACTGACCAGGGGTGATCGGGCACTGACCGGGCACTGACCCGGCACTAACTGGGCACTGACTGGGCACTGACTGGGCACTAACCGGGCACTGACCAGGGGTGATCGGGCACTAACCAGGCACTGACCGGGCACTGACCGGACACTGTCCAGGCACTGTCCGGGCACTGACCAGACACTGACCAGGGGTGATCGGGCACTGACCGGGCACTGACCAGGCACTGTCCAGGCACTGACCGGGCACTAACCAGGCACTGACCAGGCACTAACCAGGCACTGACCGGGCACTGACCAGGGGTGATAGGGCACTAACCGGGCACTAACCAGGCACTAACCGGGCACTGACCGGGCACTGACCACAAGGCCACTCTGACCCCCACGACCCCAGCCCCGCCTCGGCTTTCCCGCCTTTCCCGCACACGTGACACTGCCTTTCCCGCGTGCGCAGTGCGGCGCGGGGTGCCCCGGTGGGCGGGGCCGGCGGCCGGCGCGCGCCTGAGGACGTGGCGCTTTCCAGCCAATCAGCGCCCGCGTCTCCGGCGGGGTGGGCGGGGCCGGAGGGAGAGGGGCCGGAGGAGGGCGCGAGGGGCGGGGCGAGAGGCGGGGGCGGGCAGAGGGGCGGAGTGGCGGCAGAAGAGACCAATCGAGGCCCGCATCGGTGCCGAGGAGGAGGCGTGGCCTGCCCGTGATTGGTGGGCAGGGAGGGAGCGCGGGGGGCCGTGCGGCGTGGCGCGGCGCCGATTTCCGGTGCGCGGAGCGGCGGCGGCGGCGGCAGCGGCGGTGGGGACGGTGAGAGATGGGCTGCGGTGTGGCGGTAACGCGGCGGCGGCAGCGCCGGGCCCGGTCTCCATGGGAACGGGCGGGAGCGGCGGCGCCGCCGCGTCCGCGACTCCTGCGGCCCGTCCCGCTGCGCGGTGCCGAGTCCCAGGGCCGCCCGTGACCTGGCCCGGGGCGGGTGGGCTGGGCCGGTCGGGACCGCCGGTCCCGGGGACGGAGCCCCGTCGGCATCTCGCGACCCGGGCGGGACCGGCCCGCGGGAATCCATCGCCTCCCCTGGGCGTTATCCGCCGGGACACCGGGCTGTGCGACCCCCGGGGCACCGGGCTGTGGGACCCCCGGGACACCGGGACACCGGGCTGTGGGACCCCCGGGGCACCGGGCTGTGGGACCCCCGGGACACCGAGACACCGGGCTGTGCGACCCCCGGGGCACCGGGCTGTGGGGCCACCGGGACACCGGGCTGTGGGACCCCCGGGACACCGAGACACCGGGCTGTGCGACCCCCGGGGCACCGGGCTGTGCGACCCCCGGGACACCGGGCTGTGGGACCCCCGGGACACCGGGCTGTGGGACCCCCGGGGCATCGGGACGCCGGGCTGTGCGACCCCTGGGACGCCGGGACACCGGGGTGTGGGACCCCCGGGGCACCGGGCTGTGGGACCCCTGGGACACCGGGCGGTGCCACCCCAAGGCCGTGCTCCTGTCCCGCAGCTCTCAGTGACCCCGGAGCGCTGGGGCCGGTTTGGGGCAGGAGCAGCCCGTTTGTGCCCCGGGATTGGTTGTGCTTCCATGTCTCCCCACATCCTTCTCAGGGCTGGGATTCCCCTCGTCCCCCGGGGTGGCACCGTGGGGTCCCAGCTAATTGTTCCTTGGCTGCTCCAATGGGATCCATCCCGTAAAAAGCCGAAGCAGGCTGATTCCCAAACCTGAACAAACTGTGTTACCTGTGCGGGTTTTATGGGATACTGTTGGCCTCCCACGTGGGAAATGTGTGTCCAGAGGGGCTTCTTCCCACCAGTTTCCTCTAAATGTCACCACTGTTCCAAGCCCAGTGCAGGATTCTGAGGTCCTCTGTCAGTACCCTAGCAAACCCAATGGGAATTCTGGGTTTTTCCATCAATATTACAGCAAACCCACCTGGCATCCCAAGTTCCTCCACTGACAGCCCATCAAAACCACCTGAAATCCCGAGTTTCTCCATCAGCATCCTTGGAATCTCAAGGTCCTCCATCAGTATCCCACCTAGCCCTGTGGAATCCTGAGTTCCTCCCCAGCGGAGGGTCTGGGCCCCCATTCTGACCCCCACATCTTCCCCCACTGCTCCCGACTTCCCTGCAGTTCACCCAGAGACTCTTTATCTGGAGGAAAGGGCCAAAGGCCCTTTGGGAGGAGAGGGGCTCTGCCCTCCCTCAGGTTGGGATCCCCACAGGGCCCATCCCTCGGTCAGCAGGAGCTGCTGGAGCATCCTTTGTGGATAACCGTGGGCTTGTGGGTTTTGGTCTCTCTGAGCACCTTTCCTGGCACCCAGCAGTGCCTGGATCTGGCTGGAGCTTGGATTGTCCCTCTTTAATCACTTCCAAGTGCCTCCGGGCTCTGTGTGGACACTGGCAGATAAAATCGGGCAGTTTGACCTGTTCCAGGTCACTCTGTGCTCCAGGCTGGGCTGATCCTGGGATCAGCATGGAGCTGGGCAGGCCCTGGCTGCTGGGATGTGCCCAGGGGAGCAGGAGTCAGCTCCTGGGGACAGGGATATCCAAAGGGAGCAGGAGTCAGCTCCTGGGGACAGGGATATCCAAAGGGAGCAGGAGTCAGCTCCTGGGGACAGGGATATCCAAAGGGAGCAGGAGTCAGCTCCTGGGGACAGGGATATCCAAAGGGAGCAGGAGTCAGCTCCTGGGGACAGGGATAGCCAAAGGGAGCAGGAGTCAGCTCCTGGGGACAGGGATATCCCAAGGGAGCAGGAGTCAGCTCCTGGGGACAGGGATAGCCAAAGGAGCAGGAGTCAGCTCCTGGGGACAGGGATATCCAGAACTCCACGTACACCTGGCACTGGCTTTCCCTCCTGGAAGGTTTCCCCTTCCCAGAAACACTAAAAAAGTGACTTTTACTCTTTGTCACACAAATCCCCCCTTCTTCCCCACTTCCAAGGAATTGAAGCTTGTGGATTTTCTCAATGGTCTGATAAATCCTCATTCAAAGAAAGGAAGGAAAGGGCTTTTCCACCTCCTTTCCCCCATGTCCTGCCACCACTGTCTTGGTTTGATGTGGGACCAGTCCCAGGTCACTCCTGGTCATTCCTGAGTCACTCCCAGGGCAGAACTCCTTGATGTGAGCTTAGGTTAAAGGGCTGAGGTTCAGGCTAAAGGGGAATACCTGGATTTTAAACCACAGACTTAAAGAAATAAGGAATGGCAGTACCTGGGTTTACATTTATGTTTAAGACCTCTGGATGGGGAAGACCTGGATGCATATTTAAAGGGGTAAGGATGGGGAATATCTTGGGTTTAAATTTAGGTTAAAGCAATAGGGATGAGGAATATATTGAATTAAATTTGCATTTAAGAGCTCTGGATGGTGAATATCTGTTATTTGATGTATAAATGTAATTTATAGTGAAAGAGTTAAAACCCAGAAATATCTTGGTTAAAATTTAAGGCTAAATACACCAGGATGATGAATGCCTGGACTGAAATTTAAAGAGATCAGGATGGGGAACACCTGGATCTATGATGGGATCTAAGTTGGGATCTCAGTGATGAGCATGGGGAACACCTGAGTTTCTGCTGGGATTTGAAGGGATGAGCCTCTGGAATCCTTCCAGAGCTGCCATGGATCCCAGGCACATTTGGGTGGTTTGGTCAGGCGGGTTCCGGAGTGGGATGTGTGGGGGAGGATTCACCCGAGGTGGGTCTGGGGGAGCACCAGGGCTTGGGGAGGGGATGTGGGGGGGGGCACATCCTTCATTCCCCCCATCTGGATCCACTTCCTTCCTTCCTTCCTGCCAGGACCCCTTTCCCCACCCCTGGGTCCCTTCCCAGCCCAGCTGCCGCTCTGGGATGGGGTCGGGAGCAGCTCTGGGCAAACGGGACATTGCCCACGTGCACCGGGGCTGGAAATTCCCTGTGCCCTGATAATCTGTGTTAATGAATCCCTGTGCCCCGATAATCTGTGTTAATTAGTTACTGTGCCCTGATAATCTGTGTTAATGAATCCCTGTGCCCCGATAATCTGTGTTAATTAGTTACTGTGCCCTGATAATCTGTGTTAATGAATCCCTGTGCCCCGATAATCTGTGTCAGTGAATCACTTTTGCCCAGATAACCCACATCAGTTCATTACAGTGCCCTGATAATTAGGATCAGTTAATCAACTTGACTTGAGAATATTAATCATTTTCCCCCATAATTTGCATTTATGAGTCATTTGTGCCCACACAAATCTGCACTAATTCTCCATTTTCTCGAATAACGTGCAGTAATTCCCCATTTTTCCCAGACAATCTGCATTAAATAATCATCTTTGCCCAGACAATCCATTTTTATCATTTTATCCAGATCATCTGGATTAATTCATCATTTTTGCTCACATCATCTGTATTATTATTAATCTGTTTTTTTTCCCAATAACATGCCCTAATCCCCATTTCTCCCAGATAATTTGCCCTAATCCCTAATTTTTCCAAGATAACTGTCCCTAAACCCTATTCTTCCCAAAAAACCTGCCCTAATCCCCATTTTTCCTCGGCAACACGCCCTAGTCCTGTCCCTCCCTGTTCTGGCCCTGGCGCTGCCTGGTGCCCGTCCTGGTGTCCCTGTCCCGTGGCAGTGTCCCTGTCCCACTGTCCCCATCCCATCACAGTGTCCCCGTCCCACGGCGATGTCCTCATCCCACGGCGGTGTCCCACGGCAGTGTCCCTGTCCCAGTGTCCCTGTGCCACAGCGGTGTCCCTGTGCCATGGCAGTGTCTCTGTGCCACGGCTGTGTCCCTGTGCCACGGCGGTGTCCCTGTCCCACAGCAGTGTCCCTGTCCCATGGCGGTGTCCCTGTGCCACGGCGGTGTCCCTGTCCCACAGCGGTGTCCCAGTGTCCCTGTCCCACGGCAGTGTCCCAGTGTCCCTGTCCCACGGCAGTGTCTCTGTGCCACGGCTGTGTCCCTGTGCCACGGCGGTGTCCCTGTCCCACAGCAGTGTCCCTGTCCCACGGCAGTGTCCCAGTGTCCCTGTTCCACGGTGGTGTCCCAGTGTCCCTGTCCCATGGCTGTGTCCCTGTCCCACGGCAGTGTCCCAGTGTCCCTGTGCCATGGCGGTGTCCCTGTCCCACGTCCCACCATTTTGGAATGTCCCTGTCCCACAGCAGTGTCCCTGGCCCACGGCAGTGGCCCAGTGTCCCTGTCCCCCGGCGGTGTCCCTGTCCCACGGCGGGGTCCCAGTGTCCCTGCGCCACGGCGGCGTCCCTGTCCCGCGGCCGTGTCCCTGTCCCACGGCGGGGTCCCAGTGTCCCTGCGCCACGGCGGCGTCCCTGTCCCGCGGCCGTGTCCCTGTCCCACGGCGGGGTCCCAGTGTCCCTGCGCCACGGCGGCGTCCCTGTCCCGCGGCCGTGTCCCTGTCCCACGGCGGGGTCCCAGTGTCCCTGCGCCACGGCGGCGTCCCTGTCCCGCGGCCGTGTCCCTGTCCCACGGCGGGGTCCCAGTGTCCCTGCGCCACGGCGGCGTCCCTGTCCCGCGGCCGTGTCCCTGTCCCACGGCGGGGTCCCAGTGTCCCTGCGCCACGGCGGCGTCCCTGTCCCGCGGCCGTGTCCCTGTCCCACGGCGGGGTCCCAGTGTCCCTGCGCCACGGCGGCGTCCCTGTCCCGCGGCCGTGTCCCTGTCCCACGGCGGGGTCCCAGTGTCCCTGCGCCACGGCGGCGTCCCTGTCCCGCGGCCGTGTCCCTGTCCCACGGCGGGGTCCCAGTGTCCCTGCGCCACGGCGGCGTCCCTGTCCCGCGGCCGTGTCCCTGTCCCACGGCGGGGTCCCAGTGTCCCTGCGCCACGGCGGCGTCCCTGTCCCGCGGCCGTGTCCCTGTCCCACGGCGGGGTCCCAGTGTCCCTGCGCCACGGCGGCGTCCCTGTCCCGCGGCCGTGTCCCTGTCCCACGGCGGGGTCCCAGTGTCCCTGCGCCACGGCGGCGTCCCTGTCCCGCGGCCGTGTCCCTGTCCCACGGCGGGGTCCCAGTGTCCCTGCGCCACGGCGGCGTCCCTGTCCCGCGGCCGTGTCCCTGTCCCACGGCGGGGTCCCAGTGTCCCTGCGCCACGGCGGCGTCCCTGTCCCGCGGCCGTGTCCCTGTCCCACGGCGGGGTCCCAGTGTCCCTGCGCCACGGCGGCGTCCCTGTCCCGCGGCCGTGTCCCTGTCCCACGGCGGGGTCCCAGTGTCCCTGCGCCACGGCGGCGTCCCTGTCCCGCGGCCGTGTCCCTGTCCCACGGCGGTGTCCCAGTGTCCCTGTCCCACGGCTCGTCCCTGTCCCCGCAGGCCCGGCACGATGCGGTTCCCGCGGCTCCTGCTGTGCCTGGGCGTGTGGGCGCTGTGCGGCTCGGCCAAGCCCACGGAGCGCAAGGAGCGGGTGGTGCGCGAGGCCCCGCTCAGCGCCCGCGAGCACGACGACGCCCAGAGCTTCGACTACGACCACGACGCCTTCCTGGGCGCCGACGAGGCCAAGAGCTTCGACCAGCTCACGCCGGAGGAGAGCAAAGAGCGCCTGGGGTAAGGACAGCGTCCCGGCCTTCCGGAGCGGGAGCGCAGCCACGCGTGCAAGCTCCCCCTGCGGCAGGCCCCGCTCCCGGCCTAGGAATTCCCCAGAGTCACCCGGAGCCATTTCCTGTGCCAGGCATTCCCCAAAACTCCAGAGCAGACGGGGGTTCTGCACTGTGCCGTGCTTGCTCCTGTTCTCTGGAGCCCCTGGGATCACTGGGACTTCTCAGCTGGAAGTTGGATGGGAGTTGGGAAAACAGCCTGTGTGGAGATTCCTCCTCCAGTGTCTCTGCTGGGACCCCAGGATGGCCACGTCTGCCCTGGGATCCGGCCGTTCTTCCCCTGGGATATGGCCGTTCTTCCCCTGGGATCTGGCCGTTCTTCCCCTGGGCTCTGGCCATTCTTCCCCTGGGCTCTGGCCGTTCTTCCCCTGGGATCTGGCCGTGCCTGCCCTGGGATCCGGCCGTTCTTCCCCTGGGATCTGGCTGTGCCTGCCCTGGGATCCGGCCGTTCTTCCCCTGGGATCCGGCCGTTCTTCCCCTGGGATCCGGCCGTTCTTCCCCTGGGATGTGGCCGTTCTTCCCCCGGGATGTGGCCGTTCTTCCCCTGGGCTCTGGCCGTTCTTCCCCTGGGCTCTGGCCGTTCTTCCCCCGGGATCTGGCCGTTCTTCCCCTGGGATCCGGCCCGGGATGGTTCCGGGAGCCGCGCAGGGCCGGGTGCCCCCGCAGCAGTTGTTCTGGGGCTCGGGGTGGCTCAAACCTGGGAACTGCAGCCTCCAGCAGGGTGGGGGGCCTGGGGGACGGAGGCTCGGGATGCTGGGCTCTAGTCACCTTGGAACTGGGTGCCTTTGGCTGGGTATTCATGGAATGGTTTGTGCGGGATGGGACCTCAGAGCCCCTGCAGTGCCACCCTGCCATGGCAGGGACACTGCCACTGCCCCAGGCTGCTCCAGCCCCAGTGTCCAGCCTGGCCTTGGGCACTGCCAGGGATGCAGGGGCAGCCCCTGCTGCTCTGGGCACCCTGTGCCAGGGCCTGCCCACCCTCCCAGGCAGGAATTCCTTCCCAAGATTCCACCTGAATCTCTCCTTTTTTAGTCAGACTCGATTTTTTAAGCCAAGCATCCCGACCTTGCTGCTGCTGATGGAGCAGCACCTACCACAGCCCGTGGTGAATTTTGGGCTGTTTCTTGGTTATGGTGCTTCCTGATGGGAAAGAAAAGCTCAACCACATGTGGATGCTGGGGACACTTCCAGAGTGAGCCAATTCCCACAGCGGGATGTGCAGGGCAGGGTGTGCCATGTTCCATCCATCCCTATGGATCGCCCAGGCCCCCAGTGGGAAGGAGGTGCTGGCCTCTCCCCCAGCACTTCGTGGCCGGAGGAAATTGGGAATTTCCTCCCTCCAGGGACAATTTAAACTGGAAAACCCCTTGATCCCTTGGAGCCAGGCCCTGGTTGCTCCATAAGCTCCAAAATAGAGGATCCAGGAGACTTTTTGCCTCCTTTTTTGCCTGCTGGCACAATCAGAGGGAGTGCCTCGATGCCCCTGGAGCAGCGTCAGATCCGAGGGAAGCTGGGCCTCCCCGATGCCAGGGCTGCGATCCCAGAGCTGTCACGGCTCAATCCCATTGTTCTGCCGAGTTCCATCGGGGATTTACCGCCCTGCCTGCGCACAAACATCCACCCCCAGGCTGTCCGCGGGGCCAGCTCTGCCATGCCAAGCCGGTGGCCTTCCGTAAGCCCTCGGTGAGCTCCGTGCCCCGGCGGGCTGTGCCCGGCTCTGCTCCCTGCTGCCCCGGGCCGGGCTTTGGCAGCGCTGCCCGGTGCGTCCCGGCCCTGGCAGCGCCGGCCGTCCCTTGGAGCGGGCAGTGGGAACGGGGAGCAGCTGCGCCCGCCCTTGCAGGGCTTTTGGGAAAGCGCAGGGGCTGGTTTGGTGGCTGCTGCCCTGGGAAAGCAGCCGGGAGCAGCTGTGCCAGCCCCCGGAGCAGGGTGGGGAGGAGGGCTGCCAGCTTCCTGAGCACTGCTCTGGGCTGGACAGGGTTTGGCTTCCCTGGGAAGCTGTTCCCTGATTAACCCTCTAGAAACTGCCCTGGAAAAACTGCCTGGCCACCAGCCCCTGCCAGCTCTGGTCCTCCATTCCAGGGACTTTCCCTAATAAATCCCGTTGCCGGTGGTGTACCTTCTTGTGAGAGGGAAGCACGGAATTTTTTTCCCTGAAATAGGAAGGATTTGATAGATTTATTTGTTGTTTATATATTTACATGGACAAATGTTCAATATCCGTGTGATATTTTACATAATCCTATGCAGAATTTCATAATACTGATTTTATAATACTGGTTATAATATTGACTTGTTGTATATGTATATGGAAAATTCTGAATATTTATGTGACATTTTGCATATTTCTGTGTTTGATCAGAAATATCAGAAGGGACACTTTGCACATTGATATATACAATTCCGAAATATTTCTATAATATTTCACATACTTCTGCATAAATTTGGGCACTATCGATGAGCTGTTTTTTATATTTACATACTTATTTTATATATTTCTCTTTAAAATCACTCAGGTCTCCAAGCCCTGCCCACTGCCCCCACTCTGGCCTCTCACTGTCAGAGCTAAATTCCACATTCTCCCCTTGTTCTTCCAGTCTCTCTCCAGCTTCTCATTCCAGGAACATCCTTTGTGCCACAGAGGAATTCCTGGTTTTCCCAGACCAAGGCAATTCTGAAACACGGAAACCTGGGTGTGAGCGTGGGTGGCTCCGGTGCCCGGTTTTCCCTTCGCATCAATATCTTTGGAATTAATTGTCCTGGCGGTGATCTAAAATTTAAAATTCCATATTTTCCACCTGTCTTCTAAAATTCCTCAAATACCTGGGCTGGAGGTCAGGATTCCTGAACTGTTTTCCGTTAAGCCTTCATGTTAGAGGAAAAAAAGCGGGATCCTGCTTCACCAGACAAAGGATTTTGGGACTGTCAGCCCTGATTTTCACCCGAGCAGCCCAGAACGTGCCCAGCACGGAGGCGGTGCGCTCCGGGGAGCGAGTGCTGCGGATCAAGCAGCCCCCACCCCCCGGCTCCATCTGCCCCTGGATGCTGCATTCCTGCCGGCCTTTCCTACAGCTGCTGCTAAAAATAACGGAGGCACGCGGCTCCGGGGCTGCGGCTCCGGTGTCGGCAGCGGGCGGGACCGGCCCGGCACCGGCGCTGCTCCGCTGGCCTTGGGCGGCTCCGGCTCCCGCGCAGAGCCAAACCTCCCGCTCTTCCCGAAATGTGCATCCCCGGGGCGGGACGGCGTGCAGGTGGAGCTTTCCTAAGGTTTGACAGGGAAGCTTTTCCCCTAAAATCCGTAATTCCAGAAGGAGCCAAAACATGAGTGGTTCAAGAGTGGCCAAGCTGGCGATTTCCATGTCTGAGCCAGTGTTTTCTGCGTCCAAAACAGAGTTCTGGCAGCTGACCTTGCTTTTTGGTAGCTAACCCAAATGTTGGTTTTGAAGGTGAACTTTTCAGATGGTTGAATCTGCAAATTTCATAACCACCTCAAACTTTCTCCTGGCGTCACCAGGAGAGGCAGAGCCGATATTCCCATTTTTAATATAAATATGGGTCCGTGCTCATCACCTGCACCGTCTTGGTCAAGGGACGTGTGGATGGGTCTTTCCAGGGGCTTAAAAGGAAGTTTTTCCCCTAAAACTCATAACTTCTGAAGAAACCAAAACTTCAGTGGTCCAAAAGTGGCCGAGCCCAGGATTTTCATGTCTGAGCCGAAGTTTTGGCAGCTGAACCATATGTTGGTTTTAAGGATAAACTCTCCAAATGGTTGAATTCCCAAATTCTGTAATGACCTCAACTTGCCCCCTCTGCCCCTTCCCATTCCCTCCCTGCTAACCTCTCAGTTTTTTAAACTTTTGCTGCATTTCTCTGTGTTTCCCACAGGAAGATTGTAGGGAAGATAGATGAGGATGGAGACGGGTTTGTGACAGTGGAGGAGCTGAAAGCCTGGATCAAGTTTGCCCAAAAGCGCTGGATTTACGAGGATGTGGAGCGCCAGTGGAAGGGCCATGACCTCAACGAGGACGGGCTTGTTTCCTGGGAGGAGTATAAAAATGCCACCTATGGATATATCCTGGGTAGGTCCTGGCTCTTGGGACGGGCCTTTCCTGGAGCCAGCAGCTGGGATGTCCTGCTCTGCTTTGGGTCACCAGGCGTCGGTGGGGTGGAGGCGGATCGGGATGGGCTTATGGCACAGTGGTCAGCAGTGGTCAGGGATTGGGGTGGGCTCATGGGGTGATGGTCAGAAGGTGGTCAGGGATTGGGATGGGCTCACGGAGTGATGGTCAGAGAGGGAGGCGGATCGGGATGGGCTCGTGGCACAGTGGTCAGCAGTGGTCAGAGATCAGGGTGGGCTCACGGAGTGATGGTCAGAGGGTGGTCAGGGATTGGGATGGGCTCGTGGCACAGTGGTCAGCAGTGGTCAGAGATCAGGGTGGGCTCATGGAGTGGTGGTCAGAGGGTGGTCAGGGATTGGGATGGGCTCACGGAGTGATGGTCAGAGAGTGGCCATGGATCAGGGTGGGCTCATGGAGTGATGGTCAGAGGGTGGTCAGGGATTGGGGTGGGCTCATGGAGTGATGGTCAGAGGGTGGTCAGGGATTGGGGTGGGCTCATGGAGTGATGGTCAGTTTGTGGTCAGGGATCAGGGGGGGCTCATGGAGTGATGGTCAATTTGTGGTCAGGGATTGGGATGGGCTCGTGGCACAGTGGTCAGCAGTGGTCAGGGATTGGGGTGGGCTCATGGAGTGATGGTCAGTTTGTGGTCAGGGATCAGGGTGGGCTCATGGAGTGATGGTCAGAGGGTGGCCATGGATCAGGGTGGGCTCATGGAGTGATGGTCAGAGGGTGGTCAGGGATTAGGATGGGCTCGTGGCACAGTGGTCAGCAGTGGTCAGGGATCAGGGTGGGCTCATGGCACAGTGGTCAGCAGTGGTCAGGGATTGGGGTGGGCTCATGGAGTGATGGTCAGAGGGTGGCCATGGATCAGGGTGGGCTCATGGAGTGATGGTCAGAGGGTGGTCAGGGATTAGGATGGGCTCGTGGCACAGTGGTCAGCAGTGGTCAGGGATCAGGGTGGGCTCATGGCACAGTGGTCAGGGATCAGGGGGGGATCATGGAGTGATGGTTGGTGGTCTGGACGTGGATCCAGGTGAGGTTGTGGTGCAGGGGGACTTTGGGGCCTGGATTGGGGAGGCCCAGAGGAAGTTGTGATTGAGAGTGTGGAGTTGTGCTGGGCTGGCGCTTGGCTGACCTGAGATGGATTTGTTCCCTGGGATAAGCACAGGAATATGATGTAGGATGTGGCCTTGGTATATGTGGGGCCAGGTGGAGCAGATGTCCCCAGTATGTTACATTTTAAAACCACTAAAACTCTACAAATTGACCTCCTGGTGGCATTAGCAAAGAGAAATCCAAGGAAAAGAATCCAAAATACATGGAAATCTCCCCAGTGGAAAGTTTACACACCCCACACCCTCCTTTTCCCCTCTGCAGCCACACTTTGGCATTATTAATGTCCCTGGTGACAAATGCAGCTCTGGGCTGAATCCAGGTGATTTTGGGATGAATGGCATGTGGGAATGGGGGTTTCCAACCCTTTGGAATTCCTGGCTTGTGGGGGAATTTGGGACCTGCAGGTGGAACCCACTGGTCTGCAGCTGTGGATCCACCTTGGTGTGTCCATTGTGTCCCTAAACCCAAAAAACCACTAGCAGAGATTTCATTTGCTTTCCCGTGTCCTGGGAGCAGTGTTAGACCCCAGAATTGGGGGATTTTGGGACACGTGCTGGGCCAGCAGTGTGGCACGGCTTCAGGCATCCCTGGGAGTGAGGGAAGCAGCAGCTCTTTTGGGGTTAAAACCGTAAACCCTCAAGCCCTGTGCCAGCTCTGGCCTCCAGCACTGTAGACTGGCCCGGGTGGAGGAGCTGCAGCTCTGGAGTGTTGAATCCACTCTAATTTCCTAAATATTGCCAAAAATAGTCAAACTGCTCCACGGGATGTGCAGAGGGGGAGCCGCTGCACAGGAGGCCCATCCATCTCCCTGGGGATCGGGGAGGATCTGGATTTGCTGTGCTGGTGGCCACCCTGGTGACACCCCTGAGCTGGGGCAGCACCTCCCAGACCTCCCTTTGCCACGGGTTTCTGGGGTCTGGGCTAATCTGCCTGTGTCAATCCAGCCTGGAAGGGGACAGAGAGGTCCTGGGAAGGGTTTGAGCACTGTTTGTGATGGCATTTTGGACCTGCAGGTGTTGGATAGGGAAAAGTGTGAACACCAACCAGGAAAAGCCTTAAAGAGAGAACCCTGAATTAACAGAGCCCCCTCAGTGACCTGAGGGAGCAGTTCCCTCCCGCAGTCTGGGGAGTGCCCAGCCCCGGCAGGGCTGGTTCCAGAGCTGGAGCAGGGCTGGAGGCTGCGTGCCCTTGGCAGGCCCCGGTGGAGCCTCCACTCGTGCTGCTCCCACATACTTGTGTCCTTACAGAGCGCCGGGAGGATCCTGCCTCGCAGTCTGGCTCCGGCTCCTCTCGGCAGGAATTGCTTTTCCACAGCTCCTTGCTGCTAAAATGTTCCCCTGTCTTCTCCTCGCTCCCCTCCCTGGCCACAGTGGGGCTGGAATGCCTCTGGAAGTGCCTCCTGAGTGTTGACCCGTGGCCAAGGGATGCACGGGGCCAGGCATTGCCCTCGGCTGCTCTGGAGGGTCCAGAATGTGGTGTTTTGTCAGCAGAATGAGGTGCTGGGAGTGGTTTTATTAATTAATTAATTACACACCAGGATGAGTCACTGGGTGGCCCCCAGGAGTGCCACGGAGCAGTGTGGGGTTCTGCTGGGGGGAGTCCTGGGAAGCAGGGAATATCAAGTGATAAACGTCCAAGAGCATTATCTGAGACTGGAAATTCCTTTGAAACTCCCTTCAAAATGAGATTATTATCATCATCATCATCACCACCACTCCCGTTTTTGTTAATTCCTCAATCCCGTGGTGGGATCCAAAACCAGGACACAAGATGTTGGGTTGAGTTTGTGGGTTTGCTGCCATACTCTGAGCAAAACCCCCTGGCTCTGTCTGCTTCCCCTCCCTGTGCTCTTCCAAACCTCTCCCAGCTCAGGGACCAAGGATTTGGGAGGGTTTAACCCTTTTTAACCCATCTGCCCCCCCACCACTCCCCCATCAAACCCATTAATTAGCCCAGCAGCAATTAAAAATCATCTGTTAATGGCACTGGTCCCGAAGGTTTCCTTGTTCGGGGCTATGCTCTTCTCAAGGCAAAACCTTGGGAACAGAATGGGGAATTTGGGGTTCATTCTGCCCTAGAGCTGCCTTAAAGTCAAAATCTTTGGATATTTAATGGATGCTCCAGAGCTCCTTGAATCCCAAGCCCCTTAATCCAGGCCTCCCCAATTGCTGCCTTTTGTCCCAGCTAACAGAGCAGGGACATGAGGGCTTTTGGGACCTTGTTATTAGATGGGGCCTGGCTCTGGTTTAACTTAAGCAGAGCGTGGCAGTGTCCCCCAGGATCCGTGTTCTCCACGGGCTGCTGGACACTGCTGTGTCCAGAGCTCCTGTCCTGCTGCTGCAGGGCTGTGCCAAGCGGCCACGCGTGCCCCGCGGTCCCACCCAGCCGATGCCTCCTGCCCTGCCGCTGCCAGCAGCCAGTGAGATCCCCTTACACATTCCCCTCCCAAAATAGTTCACGTTGAGCCTCTGGCCGTGCCGGCCAAAGCCCCCAAGCCCTGTCTTTTGGGGCCTCTCCCTGGGAATGTCATGATCCCAGGGCTTCCGCAGCTCCTCCTCCTCCTGGGAGTGGGCACAGGAGAGAGGTGGTGGCTGCAATTGAGCTTTTGCTGGCAAAGCATCAGGAGGTCGTGCTGAGAGGGAGGAAGTTGAGTTGAGGTTGAGGTTGAGTGGAGGATGTTGAGGTTGCATTGAGGAAGTTGAGGATGAGAAGGTTACTTTCAGGAGGTTGAGGTTGGTTTGGGGTGAAGGTTGAGGTTGGGTTGGAGTGATCGAAGTTGTCTTGAGGTTGAAGTTGAGAGGAAGCTGAGGTTCAGTAGAGGAGGTTGAGCTTGAGCTGAGGTTGAACTGAGAATGTTGGGTTGGGTTAGGCTGTGCTGGTGGTTACTGAGTCCTCGCCCTGCCCGAGCTGACCCGGGTGCTCCTGTGCTCCCTCCCAGACGATCCGGACCCCGACGACGGCTTCAACTACAAGCAGATGATGGTGCGGGACGAGCGGCGCTTCAAGATGGCCGACAAGGACGGGGACCTGGCCGCCACCAAGGAGGAGTTCACGGCCTTCCTGCACCCCGAGGAGTACGACTACATGAAGGACATCGTTGTGCAGGTGGGGCCGGCACAGAGGCACTTTGGGAAGCTCTGGTGGCGGGTGGTCACTGAGGGGCAGGAACTGCCTCGGGCCCGGCTCACGCTGGCGTCTTCTTGCAGGAAACCATGGAGGACATTGACAAGAACGGCGATGGTTTCATTGACCTGGAGGAGTACATCGGTGAGACACTGGTGCTGCTGCTGCTCCATGTCCTGTCCGTGTCCCCTCAGTGTCCCCGTCCTGTGGGAGCCTCTGCCACCGTGTCCTTCCCAGTCCTCCCCCTCACAGAATGTTCTCTCTTGCAACTTCCACCTGTCCCTAGGCCTCCACCGAGGATTTTCGGGTGAAATTGTGACCCAGGTGGTTCTTTGGGGTTCTGGGGATGGATTTAGGGAACTCAAGGCTTTGGGTCAGTCCTTGGGCTGAGCTCCTAGGCCTCCACCGAGGATTTTTGGGTGAAATTGTGACCCAGGTGGTGCTTTGGGGTTTTGGGATGGATTTAGGGAACTCAAGGCTTTGGGTCAGTCCTTGGGCTGAGGACAGGGCCGTGGGGCCGATCCTGATCCTGCTGTCCCCCAGGTGACATGTACAGCCAGGACGGTGATGCTGACGAGCCTGAGTGGGTGAAGACGGAGCGGGAGCAGTTCGTGGAGTTCCGGGACAAGAACCGGGATGGGAAGATGGACAAGGAGGAGACCAAGGATTGGATCCTGCCCTCGGACTACGACCACGCCGAGGCTGAGGCCCGGCACCTCGTCTACGAGTCCGACCAGGACAAGGTGGGCCAGCAGCTCGGGGGGCGCGGGGAGCGGGATGAGGCGTGGGGCGATAGCGGGATGGGGCGATAGCGGGATGTGGCCTTCCCTGCAGGACGGGAAGCTGACGCGGGAGGAGATCGTGGACAAGTCAGACCTGTTCGTGGGCAGCCAGGCCACGGACTTCGGGGAGGCGCTGGTGCGGCACGACGAGTTCTAGGCCCGAGGCCGGCAGCCGTCTGTGGGCTCCGTCCCTGCCGAGGCCGCTCCTGCCGCCGAGAAACCCCATCCCGGCTCCCGGGGACGGGGCTCGGGAAAGCCACACTCCCCCGGCACCCGGGGCTCGTCTCGTTGTGGGTTTTCCCCGGATTTTAACGACTTTTGGGTTATTTTTGTATGTTTTGGTTTTACCACGTGTGGGAACAGCTCCCCTGGCGCGGGGGCAGCGACGGGGCTGCCCGGGGCTGCGGGGCCAGGGGGCCTGGGGGGGGAGTGGGAAGTTCACCGAGGGATTGGGATTGGAATTGCAGTTGGAATAAAAATTAGAATTGGAATTGGAATTAAAGTTGAAATTGAAATTAAAATTGGAATTTGAATTGGACTGAAATTTGAATTAAAAATGGAATTGGAATTAAACACTGAAATCAAAGTTGAAAACTGAAATTGAAATGGAATTGGAACCAAATAAGTAAAATTGAATTAAGTGGAAACGCTGATGTGAAATTGGAATGAAAAGAAGTGAACATTGAAAACCCCAAAAACCGTCAGAGCAGCAGCAGGACCAGGGGGTGACCCCAGGGAGGTTGGACCCTCCTCCCCTGTGGCTGCTCCGTGGGATCTGGGCAAGACCCTTCCCCCAGCCCCGCTCCAAGTGCCTTGAATCCCCCAGACCTCTGGGGGAGGGCCTCATCCCACCCCGCTCCGGGACAGTTCCCGAGGTTTTCTCTCTTCTGTGTTGTTTGTCCCCCTGCAGCCACCAGAGCTGCGTGGAATCGGGCCCGGCCATCTCCAAATTCCCAGGTTTTCCCTTAAATCCTTTCCCAAAGGTTTCCAAGGGCTGACCGGATCCTCCCATCTCTATCTCCTCCTCCTCCCCTTTCTGCTCCTCCTTTTCCTCCCCTCCCTAAATCCAGGGGTAAGTGGGTCGGGAATATGGCCTCATGCAGCGCTTGGGAATCTGGGAATGCTGGGGGTGATCCGGGAATGTCAGGATTGGTTTGGGACACCAGGGATGATTTGGGACAGCGGAAGTGATTTTTGGAACCCTGGGAAAGCCTCTGGTGCAGCCACCCAGCTCTGCAACAGCCCCTCTCCTAACATCCCCCGGCTCCCATCCGTGAGGATCTGGGGCCCTGTGACAACTCCAGACATGGATTTTTCGCCTCCTCCGGGTTTATTCCTTGGTTTTCTCCTCGGGCTGATTGAAGGGATCCGGATCGGTTGGAACTCAATAAAATTGTTCACCCCCCGATGGGCCGAGGGGGACGGACCCCAGTTCCCTGTTTCCCCCTAAACCAGGATCTGGGAGAGCCCCCTTGGACTGAGCCAGAAGGGTTTGGGCAGTGGGGGGCCCTGAGGAGGGGAGCGGGGGGAACTGGGTGGGGATGTGGGGACACACGAGGCCTGTGGGACTTCTGCCCCTGGGGCCTGGGGGCTCAGCCCCACAGATGGGGGGCCCAGCCCCATGGATGGGGGGGCTCAGTCCCACCTCTACCACACAGATGGGGGGGCCTAGCCCCATGGATGGGGGGGCTCAGTCCCACCTCTACCACACAGATGGGGGGGCCTAGCCCCATGGATGGGGGGGCTCAGTCCCACCCCTACCACACAGATGGAGGGGCCCAGCCCCATGGATGGGGAGCTCAGCCCCACGGATGGGGGCCCTTAGGTCCCACCCCAGCCCCACAGGTGGAGGTGGGTGGCACCATCCCACCTCCCTGCCTTCCCTGCGTGTGAGGCCTAAAGGGGGACAAGGGAGCAGAGTCCCTGGGGGCTCAGCCCCACAGATGGGGGGCCCAGCCCCATGGATGGGGGGGCTCAGTCCCACCCCTACCACACAGATGGAGGGGCCCAGCCCCATGGATGGGGAGCTCAGCCCCACGGATGGGGGCCCTTAGGTCCCACCCCAGCCCCACAGGTGGAGGTGGGTGGCACCATCCCACCTCCCTGCCCTCCCTGCGTGTGAGGCCTAAAGGGGGACAAGGGAGCAGAGTCCCACCATGGCACCACCGTGGAGCACAGCCACCTCCAGGACCCATCCTGCCCCACGGTGGGGCACAGTTTCCCCTGGGACCCACCCTCTCTCCCTGCAGTGGGGCACAGCCGCTCCCAGGACCTGTCCCACCCTGCAGTGGGGCACAGCCACCCCTGGGACCCCCATCCCACCCAGCCATGGGGCACAGCCTCCACCAAGGCCTCCATCCCATCCCACAGCCCCCGGCTCCCCCATTCCCACCCTGCTGTGGGGCACGGCTGCCCCTAGACGCCCACGCCGTGGGTGCCCTGTCCCACAGGTCCCGGGTGCTCAGCGGGTCCCCGTTGCGCTCAGACCGCGGCCGTGGTTTATTGTCCCACCCGCGCTACATCCTAGGCTGGCCGGGGCCCCCGGCCCCCAGGGCAGAGCCAGCCCCTCGGTGGGGGCAGCTGGGGGATAGCGGGGGGGCAGCCGGGGGTCCCGGGGGCTGGGGCGGTGCCGGAGCCCCTCAGCTGGGGCCGACCTGGCTGGAGGACACAGAGGAGACCTCGGTGCGCTGGGCCGAGCTGGACACATCGGAGTCGTCTGACATGGGCCGCCCGCACACCGTCTCCATGATGCAGGCGCGGAACTGCGGGGACACAGGTGACACAGGGTCACAGGAGAGGGGACAGCTCAGCCTGGGGGTCCTGTGTCCAGCCCTGGCACTGTCCTCGCACCCTCAGATGCCACATTGGGGTCCCTGGGGTCACGGTACCCCCAGCCGTGCAAGTGCTCCTGGATGCGCCATCCCCAGGTGTCCCTGGTCCCCCAATGTCCTTGGGCACCCCTGCATGTCCCTGCTGCCCCAGTGTCCTGGGGTGTCCCCGTCTTCTCTGTGTCCCCCTTGCCAATGTCATCCCCTTAGCTGAGCGTCCTGAGGTGTCCCCTCACACGGGTATCCCTGGGCGTTCCCCATGCTTGGGTCTCCCTGAGTGTCCCAGGTCCTCAGACATCCTTGGGCAGCCCTGGATGCCCCCATCACCAGGTGTCCCTGGGCGTCCCCCTGCCCGTGTCCCGGTGTCGCCGGTGTCACCTGTTTGTTCATGAAGCAGTAGATGATGGGGTTGTAGACGCAGGAGCTCTTGGAGAAGAAGGCAGGGATGGTGACGAGGCGCAGGTCGATGCCGTGCTCGCGGTTGTTCACCATGTACATGGCCAGCGCCGCGTAGGGCACGTAGCACATGCAGAAGGAGCCGACCATGACCACCACCATGCGCGACACCTCCCGCTCCGCCTTCTGCGTCGTGGCCGACTCCTGCTGCTGCGCCGCCACCTGCCACAGGGACAGGGACACCTTGGGCCTGCCCGGGCTGCTGGCCCCCTGCCCATCCCCTGTGCAGCCCCCCGAGCCCTGCCCATGCTCCTGACGGTGCTCCTGCCCAGCCTTCTGTCCAAGTAACCTCCCCTCCCTTCCTGCATCCCTTCATCCCTCCAGTCACCTCTCCCTCCAGTCAGCTCTCCCTCCCTCCTTCTCCCCATCGTGCCCTCCCTTCCTGCTCACAGTCAATTCTCCATCCCTCCCTCCCTCCTGCCCCCCAGCCCCTCTCCACTCTCCATCCCTTGCTCTCAGCCACAGGTGTGCCTGACCCCAATGCCCCCTGTGTCCCCTGTGCCCCCGGGACTCACGGCCCGCAGGGCGCTGAGCAGCTGGGAGTAGGAGAAGATGATGAGGGAGAGTGGGATGATGAAGCAGAAGATGAAGAGGAACCAGGTGTAGTATTCGCTCTTGTACTTGGTGCCCACCGTGTACCAGTCAGGGCCGCAGGAGCACTGCAGCCCCTCGGGGATGTACCTGCAGAGCTGTGCTCAGCCCCCACTCTGCACCGTGGGGCAGCCCCCGGTGCCCCCCCAGCACCCCGTGGCACTTCTGCTCACTCAAGCACTCACCTGGCACCCCCACGACCCCCCCCTTGCCACCCCGTTCCACCCCCTGCCCCCCACACCTCTGTGTCCCACCTGCTCCAGCCGAAGAAGGGCGGGATGGCGACGCCGACGCCGATGATCCAGGTGGCCGCCACCACCAGCAGCGCGTGGCGGGAGTTGAAGCGGAAGTTGCCGAAGGGTTTGCAGATGACGATGTAGCGCTCGAAGGCCAGGAAGGCCAAGGACCACCCTGTCACCATCCCTGGGGGAGCAAGGCCACCACTGGCCTCACACAACTGCCCATGGCCACCAGGGCTAGGGGTCACTGCAATTCCCATAGCCCCCCGGGCCCCCCGGTCACCCCAAGTCCTACGACCCCAGTAGAATGTAGTGCTCACCCCTCCCTTCAGGCCTCAGTGGTCACCCCAGCTCCTCCAGCCCCCACAGATCACAGGGCTCAACCCTACCCATGGCCCTTACCCATTTTGTCACTTTCAGCCCCACCAGACCACAATGATCACCCCAACTTCCCCAGCCCCAGAAGAACAGGATGGTCACCCCCACTTCCAGCTCCACCAGACCCCAGTGGTCACCCCAACTCCTATAGTGCCACCAGACTACAGTGGTCAGCTCCTAAAGGTCCAGAAGGTCACCCCAATGCCTGCACCACCGCAGCCCGTGGTGGTCACCCCAACTCCTAAAGCCTTAGCAGAATGTGGTGGCCAACGATACCTTGAGCCCATGGTGGTCACCCCCCCTCCCACAGCCCCACGAGATCACTGTGGGCACCTCTGGCCCCAGCAGCCCCCAGCGGTCACTCCATCGTGTCTGGCCGCAGCAGCCTGAGCGCCCCGTGGTCCCCTCGTACCTCCGGTGGCCCCTGCAAAGCCCTCAAAGGCACACATGTGCTTCCCGAAGACAAAGTATCCCTGGGAGCTGGCGACGAAGACGGTGAAGATGCAGAAGACGCAGCACATGAGGCCGCTGACGGAGATGTTCACCAGGATGTAGTTGAGCGGCTGCCGCAGCTTCTTGTACTTGATGGTGACGATGAGGACGATGGCGTTCAGGGGGGTGCCCGCCACGAACACCAGGCCCATGAAGATGGTCTGCAGGTAGAAGGCCCACTTGGGCGCGATGTGGTACTGGGGCCCATCCCAGGGCCCCACCGACGACTGGTTCTTGAACAGGTAGAACTCTTCCTCGTCCATGGCGGCGGTGGCGGGGGGGGAGCGCCCACCCCCCTGATATACCCTGCGCCCCCAAAGCTGCTTAGGGGAGATCAGGGCTCAGCCCGGCCAAACTTGGGGATTAGGGTGGGCTAAACCGGGCTCAGCCCCTAATCGGCCCCCTGAGCCGGGTCGAGCCGATTGCCGGTGCTCTGGAGGATTTGGGGGGGGGCAGAAGGGCTCCCCGCAACATCTGGGTGTGGGGAGGGTCCCCTGGGGTCTCCAAGCTTGATCCTGCTCCTCCTCAGGTGTTCAGGTGTCCCCAGGTGTTCCCAAGCCCAAGTCTTGGTCCCACCACAACAGCCAGAAGTCCCCAACTTTAGTCCTGATCCCAGCGGGGTCCTCAGTGTGGCCCGAGGGTCCCCAAGCTCTGTCCTGGTCACCCCAGAATGGCCAGTTGTCCCCAGGTATCTCCAGGGGTCCCCAGGAGTCTCCAGCCTTGATCCCAGTCCCCCAGGCCCAGCCCTGGATGCCTTGGGAAGAACTCAGAGTTTCCCTCATGAGCTCACCCCCTGCCCCACCCAGCACCCCAGGGTGCCCCAAAAGTGTCCCCCCCCCAAGCGATTGTACCCAGTTCTGGGCTTGGGGGATCCCTGTGCTGGGGAGATCCCAAGTGAGGTGGGGGGAGTCTGGGGGTATCAAGGGGTGCAGGGGAAGACTGCGGGGGCACTGCTGGGGGTGGGGTGTTTCAGAGGGGGTGCTCATTTTGGGGGTGCAGCGCTGGGGGATCACTGATGGGGGCTCATTTGGGGGTGCACTGCTGGGACTCAAGTTCCAGAAGACTCCCAGCGTTTCCTGCCCTCCCTCCCCCCTTTCCCTCCCTCCCCCGGCCTGTGGCACCCCCGGGGAACAGGAAGGATGAGCAGAAGCTGCTTAGGGGGGGATTACAGGGCCCCCCCCGGGCCAGGGGCGCCTATAAAGGCCGGTGCAGGGACTGCACTGTGGCACTGGGGACCCCCAGGGAAGGGGGAGATCAGTCAGGGGGAGAGGGACACATCCCGGGACGCTGTGCCCCTGGGGAGTGTGTGTGGGGTGCCCACCCTGGGGCTCTGTCCAGCTCTGGGGCAGAGATGGGGCCAGGGGGGCTCAGGGATGGGCCAGGGATGGGGCCAGGGGAGGAACGGAGGCACTGGGTGGGCTGAGCCCCCAGCCCGTGTTCTACTGGGCTGTACTGGGTCATATTGGCCTGTAGTCTGCTGGTTTGTACTGGGCTGTACTGGGCTGCACTGGGCTGTACTGGGCTGTATTGTGCCACGGGATTGTCCTGTGTCCTGTTGGGTTGTACTGAGTCTGGTCATACGGTACCAGGCTGTACTGGGCTCAGCAGGGCCGTACTGGGCTGTACTGGGCTGTACTGGGGCAGGTCAGCTCTGCTGGTGCTGTACTGCTCATCCCCACGGAGGGGCACCCCCAAATGTGTGTCACAGGGTGGTGACCCAGGGGACAGACACCCCACGAAGGGTCCCCCCGTCCCTCCCGTGTGCTCGCCGTGTCCCAGCGGAGCTGCGGTCCCTGAGGCCGGGGCTGCGGGGGGCACGGGGGCCGGGCATGCCGCCGGGATGGCGGCACGGAGTGGGGAAGGGACTCGGGGGTGCTGCCGGGCAGCAGGAGGTGCTGGGCATGGAGCCCTGGCGGCGGCAGCACCGGCACCGCCAGCCCTGCTGGGACCCCCAGCACCCACCAGCGCCCACCGCCAGGGCCGGGCACGATGGCAGCAGTCAGGCTTGGCAGGGGCTGCCAGCGAGCTTCGGGTGCCCACCCCTGCCGGTGGCCAAGGAAGGGCTGGAGCTGCTCTCAGGGCACAAGGGGGGTCAGGCACGGCTGGGGCTGGACGGGCTGGGAGGGCTTTTCCAGCCCCAGGGGTCCTGGGGTGCTGGGATGGCGGCACGGAGTGGGGAAGGGACGCGGGGGTGCTGCCGGGCAGCAGGAGGTGCTGGGCATGGAGCCCTGGCGGCGGCAGCACCGGCACCGCCAGCCCTGCTGGGACCCCCAGCACCCACCAGCGCCCACCGCCAAGCCGGGAGCACTCACCGGTAATGGGAGCACCCACCGGTACTCAGAGCACCCACTGGCACCGGGAGCACTCACCGGTAATGGGAGCACCCACCGGTACTGAGAGCACCCACGGGTATTGGGAGCACTCACCGGTAATGGGAGCACTCACTGGTACTGGGAGCACCCACCAGTACCGGCAGCACCCACCGGTACTGAGAGCACCCACCGGTACTGGGAGCACTCACCGGTACCGGGAGCACCCACTGGCACCGGGAGCACTCACCAGTAATGGGAGTGCCCACTGGTACTGGGAGCACCCACCGGTAATGGGAGCGCCCACCGGTACTGGGAGCACCCACTGGTACCGGCAGCACCCACTGGTACCGGCAGCACCCACCGGTAATGGGAGCACCCACCGGCACCGGGAGCACTCACCGGTACCGGGAGCACCCACCGGCACCGGGAGCACCCACCGGTAATGGGAGCACCCACTGGCACCGGGAGCACCCACCGGTACTGGGAGCACCCACCAGTACTGAGAGCACCCACCGGTACCGGGAGTACCCACCGGTACCGGCAGCACCTCCTCCTCACAGGACCCAGGCCCCCCAGCCCCCAGCGCTGTCCCCTGCCCCTCTCGGGACTCCCAGGGTCGCTGCTCGGTGCCCTCCTGGGTGTGGCCTCACACATGTCCTGCTGTCCCCATGGCCACGTTCCCTGTGTCCCTCTGTCCACGCGCCCCTCGTTCTCCTGTCCCTTATGCCCCTCAGCCCTGGCCCCCGTGTCCCCAGTGTCCCCCTGCTCCCCTCTCTGTGTCCCCGGGCTGCCGGTGGTCCCCTCCCCGTGTCACCCCCCCGAGTTCTTCCAGCCCCAGTGCCCAGAGGACACCCAGAGCCAGGGACGGGCTGGGGGGACACGGGACTCAGGGTGTCCCCACAGGCAACAGGGCTCTGCCCTGTGTCCCCTCCCCAGGAGACACTGGCGGGGTCAGGTCCTTTGTCCCCTCATCGTGGCCTCCACCATCATCATCCTCTGCCCGGGCTGCGGCAGAGCCGAGACCCCGGGGGGCTCTGGGACCCCCTGGGTCCCCCGGACCTCCCCAAACATCCTGACCCCCACCTCCCAGCCCACCCTGACCCCCCCACAGGCCACTCGCTCCCCTTCCCGCACCTGCCACGGGTTTGGGGGCTCTGCTGGGGGACCCTGTCGCGCTTCGCCCCCACCCCGGTGCGTGCCCCCCTGCCCCGGGGTATTTTGGGTGATGATGTGTTGGGGGTGCCCCCCCACCGCGTGCCCCCCCGGGTATTTTGGGTGCCGGTGCGTGGCTCTGACTCGGCAGGTTATTTTTAGGTGTTGGCGCAGGCGCCACCGCGTCACCCCCCCCACGTCACCCCCCCACGTCACCCCTTGTCACCCGTTGTCACCTCGGGGTGCATCCGCACCGCCCCCCCCCTCCCTTGGAAGCTTCCAGGGCAGGCACCGGAACAGGGGGAACACGATACTCCCCAAATCGCCCCCCCAAAAGGACCCAGATGTGGGTCACCCAAGCGTCCCCCCCCGCCCCTCCCGAGGGCGCTGAGGAGGCCTCGGGAGTCTGTAACGGGGGGGTGACACAAGAGAGATTCGGGGGGCAGCGGGGTTCAGGGCGCACCCCAAATTTGACTGAACCCGCTCCCCAGGCATGTGTCACTGCCATGGGGAAACTGAGGCACGGCCAGGGGGTCACACGGCTGGAGTCACCGGGGGGGAGTGGGGCAAAACAGGGGGGGCTGGGTGGGGGTTCTGGGTGGGTCCCAGTGGGCTTCCCCAGAGGGGATCCTGGAGGGTTTGTGGGATCTCGGTTGTGCCCCTCGGGGCTGGGGGAGAGTTTTATGTGAGCTTTTCCCAAGGGGGAAAGGAGGAGTGAGGGGGTTCCGAGTAAGTTGGGGAGGGTCTTTGGGGGGGTTTTGGGGTGCTTTGTGCTGTGGGGGGCTGCGGTATTGGGGTGTCTGCGGTGTTAGGGTGTCAAGTACAGGTGTATCAGGATAACAGGGTGTCAGGGTGCCTGGGCTATAGGGTGCTGAGGTTTTGGGGTGTCGAGGTTGCAGGTGTTTGGGATTATTTGGGCTGGATTCTGGAGTTTGGGGGTGCCTAGATTTTGGGGTGCCAGAGTTTCGGGGGTGTCTGGGTGCCGGGATTTGGGGTACCAGTGTTTCAGTGTAGGGAGGCTGGGGCACCTCTGGGCCAAGGTTTGGGGCTGCTTAGGTTTGAGGGTGCCAAAGTTTAGGTGTGCCAGTGGTTCAGGGTGCAAAATTGGGGGTGCCAATGTCTGGGGGCGAGGGGTTCCGAGGTGCCAGAGTTTAGGAGTTTGTGACACTGGACTTCAGGGAATTTGGGGAGTTTTGGGGTGTCGGGGTGCCAGTGTCCGGGAGTCTGTGGGTGCCGGCGTTTTGGGGTGTTTGTGAGTGTCGGTGTTCGGGTGTGCCAGTGTTTGAGGTTACAGAGGTCTAAGGGATGTCAGAGGTTTGGGGGTGCTGATGTCTGTGCGTTTTTGGAACTGCCGGAGTTTGGGGGTTTGGGGGTGCCCGGGTTCGGGGGAGCCTTGGTCCGGGAGTGCCAAAGTCGGGGGCTCCGGGGCGTGCTGGGATCTTGGGTTTCGGGAGGCGCCGGATTCCGGGCTTTTGGGGGTGCTGGAGGCCGGCGGTCCGAGGTTTGGGGAGTGCCGAAGCCCGGCGGTTTTGGGGGTGCCGCTGTCTGGGGGTCCGGGTGTGAGGCCGGGGCTGTAAATAGCGAGGGCCTGGCCCCCCACCCCCGGCCGGCCGGGCGGTCTTTCCGTCCCTCCGGCTCGGTCCCTCCCCGGGACGGGGCGGGCCGGGCCGGGGCAGCGCTTAAAGCCGCCGCCGCCCCCGGCCCCGCCACTTGCCGCCGTCGCCCCTGGCCCAGGAGCGCTCTTGGGACGCATCGCGAACACACGGGACCCCGCGGACCGCCGCTCCGGGAACTAATCGGGAACCGACCCGGGAACCCACCGGACCCCCCAGCCCTCCGGGACCCGCCGCTCCGCTCCGGGAACCCACCGGGAACC